ACAAGAGGCGAAACGTCATAATGAAACTCTAATTATACCATCTTGTAGAGGAGAAAAAGTGGCAATGTTGACATGCAATTTATTTTGGAACGCCATCTCAAATAACGTCGGGAATTTGGAACACCCTGCATAGGTAAGGTTAAATTACAATATCTTGGGTTCCCGTACATGTCTCTGCTTAGTGTCGGTTCTTAGCATATTTGTTTCAATGGCAAATATGTTAAAATAAAACTTTATAATAATATTCCTATAGCTATGCCTGGATATTGGACATTATGTGGAGTTCTGAACAACGGCATTGTTGAGCATTTGTGCATAATAAAATTGCTTTGATTATATTCTAAAATTACTCCTCTCCCATTTATATAACAAATCTTCCATTTTCAGAGGTATGATAAACAAGCGCAATCTATTTTCAGTTGACAGCGGCGCGTCGTGCTTAAAAACGTGAGCTATTTTCGTAAAGGTTAAGCAGAATTATCATAAAAAATCGTTTCAGAGTACCAATGCATAATAAACCATCATCACAGCTCTGCAAATAACGTGATCTCTATTCAAATGCATATCTGTAACTGATCAGAATTATCAGTGTTGATATACGTTAACGTGCCTATGTGTCACGTGCTTTTCAAAAATTGTTTTGGTACTTAGACGATCACGTGATCTGTTTACATTGTATTATTTGATTATGATAGTCGTCATAAAATTGAATGACGCGATTTGAAAGTGGATTATTTTAATTGTTTATGCACAATCCTTGTAAATAAAGGACTAGTTAGTCATAACAAATGACGTCAAGTGGGTTGACTGTGTCATCAGTTCGTAGAGGATTATGTTTGACCCTCCTGAGAAAAAAGTTAGCTGCGAATATGCATGACAAAAAATTAAATAACCTTCCTCCTCCACCTGAGAAGAATTGCAGCAGCGCACATGATCGTTGCCATGACCGATCCGCGGGAATGACAATATTGGCCTTCACCATGCACAGTGCACGCAGGCCACAGCAGCGCGGAAGCGATTGCCGACTATGACGTACGACCACCGGCGACGACGCTTGTCCATCGGGGGACCACGTCGCACTTGATCGATTTTCAAAAACTACATAGCTTTTGCGTGCTTGGCATAGCAGTAACATTTTGTAAAAATTTCATCGAAATCCGAGTGATAATTCTCAAGTTATAGGAGGCTATAAGATTAGCGGACAGAGCGACAGACAGACAAACATATAACACCAAAAAAACATAATATCTCATTTTCGAAAATTTTCGCGATTACAATACTTTCCAGTAGGCGTGAGACATAAAGTGATGACAAATAGTTTGACTCTACACTTTACACAAAATTTGCAAATTTCAAAGCAAAATAATGATTCAAGTTTATTCAAAAGACGGAATCGGATCTTGACTAGGTATGTATAAAAAATATTTGTGATTATTATGCCTAACTGGCGCATAAAATACTACCGAGATCAGCAACTTATTCATAATCGATATTTTACTAACATCAAAGATGGAACAGTTTACAACCGTTCATGCCCTACAGCCAACCGTCAATTTTTAACCTCTCAAAAAATGGATGGGGGTCCATAATGCCGGTTATTGGCCTAATACAATTTTGATCAAAAAAGAAAAAGATTTTTCATGTATGTATAAAAATTTTTGAGAAAAAATAATTTTGGCTTCTTGATTGCCTTGTATACACTATCTAAAAAACTGAAAAAGTAAGTAGATAGCGACACAATATACGACAATAAAATGTTTTTAATGAAAAATTCAGTACTAGCTATAACAGTTGCGGAGGGGCGAATTGTCAAATTTGAGTTTTTTTTTTCGATAGATCATCCAATATCTCAACAATCTCAAAATAAATCCCTATAGTATATTATATCAAACTGATTCGTTTGAAAGGTATATCCAAATCATGAATCGTCATGAAGAAATTAAAATATTGTCCAAGTCTAGAGGATACTGTTGGCTACAATTTTTGTATTTAATTTTTTCATATACAATGCGTAATGAACTTATCTACCGAGCATACACTAAAAATTCACCCTGTATGTATACTAAGTGACATATAAATCCGAACACCCAGTTTAAATGGTTTTATTTTAATAAAATTTTGTGTAAGTACTTAATGAAGCATAATAAGTAACTGATAAAAATTTCAAAATGATTGCACTGCTTTAAAGCCCTTTTAATAATGTGTGGATGCACCCTGATGTGCTACGCATTCTCCAACGCGCCTAGGCATGCTTCTGATCAGGTGGTCAATGTCCTCTTGTGGTATCTCATTCCAGGCAACCACCAACTCCTCTCGAAGTGCTTCTACAGTCTGAGGAGGACGTTGCAAATTGAGCAATCTCCTACCCATCATATCCCACACGTGCTCAATTGGGGATAAGTCGGGAGATCTTGGTGGTCATGGTAACAATGTGACATTATTATGTTGAAAGAAGTCTATTGTGACTCTTGCAACATGTGGTCGGGCATTATCTTGTTGGAAAGTTGGATCTGCCAGGGTGTCAAGATAGGGTAAAAGATGGGGTTCTAGAACTTCGTGGATATAACGCTGCGCGTTCATGTCACCTCTGATGAAGATTAAAGGTGACCTGGAACCATAAGCTATAGCACCCCAAACCATAACTCCAACAGTGTGATGAACATGTCTTTCAACAAAAAACTGAGGATTCCTCCTTTCACCACGTCGCCTTCTAACCCTGGCACGACCATCGTGCATGCCTAAACAAAATCGAGACTCGTCACTAAAGACAATACTGTTCCATTCCTGATCCCAGAGTGACCGTTGTCTGCACCACTCAAGGCGATTACGTCGGTGTTCTCGACTTAAAGGGAGGACCCAGTGTGGCCGGTATGAAAACAAGCAAAAACTTCTCATTCGTCGGTAAACACTTCGCATGCCAATAGGTCTTCCGTGTTCTGCAAACCATTCATTTGCAATGGATCTGGTAGTGGAGAAACGGTCCCTTAAGGCCAATAATCTTAGGCGGCGATCTTCACGGTCTGTTGTTCTACGGCGGCGTCCAGCGCCCCTTGCTCTTTGCGTACGGCCTTCTCGAAGCCATGCCTGACAACACCTAACCACAGTGTCTACACTTCTTTGCACTCTAACTGCAATTGCCCGAAAAGAAAGTCCAGCTTCCCGAAGTCCCACTATACGGCCCCTATCAAATTCACTAAGTTGACGAAATCGTACAGGTCTCCGTACTCTAGGCATCGTAACCGATCGTAAAGGATGTCAAGAACCAAAATCCGCCAACGTTGATTCTTTACTGCGGCTGAAATATTCATTTTTAGAGCGTTAGTGAATTAAAAAAAGCAGTATAAAAACCGGAATGTCCAACTGATAAGGCTGAAAATTTTTTCACTTGTTATTTAAAGTAAGATAAATACATTCACCAACTTTTATTAAAATAAAACCATTTAAACTGGGTGTTCGGATTTATATGTCACTTAGTATTCCCTAACACCTGACCACGTCCTGGCGGAAATAGTAAAATTCCATTAAACTAGAACCTCTGTCACGTAGTAACGATTTTTATAAAAGCACGTGGAAAAACATGATCCAATTATACTTTGATTGACCCGCGTTGCTGGTTTAGCTCATCGCCGGGCGAGGGAAGGGGGTATTCTGCAGTTAATTACGTGTTGAATAATGCCGCAATTTAAAATGTCTACGTTCGGGAGACGTGTGTCGCCACCGTGATACCACCTGTGGCATATGTCTCAGTCACGTTGAGCCGGACATTATGGAACACCGACCTGCGGTTGCTGCACGAGCTGACAAGTCGTATTTATATCGGAATTGCCACGATGCTGGCCCGCTGGCATTTTCATGTTTTCGAGCTTATTCGGTATCATCTTAAAAATGTAGTCTTATAAATTGACTCGGTAATTTCCGCGCAACGAATGAATTCATTTAAAATTCAAGGTACACGAAAAATTCTAAGCGTAATCACTTGAGAAATTACTGCTTACAAATGTTTGAAACGCTATAAAAATTTGTTTGGCTAGACCCTGGATTCCCAAAGTGGTCTATATCGACCCCTAGGGGTCTATGACAACCTGCAAGGGGTCTACGTCAGCGAAAAAAAATTTGGGGGTGCATGAAATGAATATGGGGGTCCACGATAGTGGATCTCAACACATACACTGATAGTACCTATTTACTTACATCATACTATCTTATAATATCAAAACATATACATTATTTATAAAAGTACCTATGAAGTAAAAAATTTATTATATAATGTTTATAAAATTGTGTAAGTTGTAGGATGTTGGTATTCGCTTTGTGGTCGCAATACATTTTGAACTTGTAAAAACCTGAGAGTCGCAGTCTCAGAGCTTCGCTACCTTGCACTGACTTGTTCAATTCGTCACTCTATAAATACGAATGTGGGACAAATACGTTTATTCGTTTCCTGAATCTTGAAAAGGAAAGTGCTAAGAAAATATTTTAAAAAATATAAACAGATAGTATATCACACAAATTATAGTGAGTCAGTGTTATTTTGTTTGAGAGTGCTGGAGAAAAGTAAGTACATTATTTTTTATTAAATTTCAGTTTTGTACTCGTAGTTAGCAAAGATAGATAAATTACGCCAATCATGACTTTAGTTATTAGTAGTTAAATATTCAATCATGCAAAATTGCACGAGTACTCCTCAATAGTTTCTTTTTGAAAGTTTTAGAAATCGGTAATATAATTACAGTGCAATCTCCGTAATTCGAGCTAATTGTTGCAAGAAGATGTTCGAATTATGGAATGTTTTCGGAAAAATCAAAAAATATTTTTAATGGATTTTCTGTCTTATTTAAATAATTTAATTTTGCCCACAGATGATTGATGCCATGTCCGAATCTAAAAAGAAATGTAGACAGTACAGTGTTGATTATTTGAAATTTGGCTACATTCCATCATTGCCGGACAAACAATCGCCTATGTGCATTTTATGCAACAAAGTTTTGGGCAATGACGCTATGAAACCATCTAAACTGAAAGGTCATCTGAGAAGATGCCACCCTGATAAAACAGAGAAAGATTTGAAATACTTTCAAACACTCAAAGATAAATTTCAGAAGAGGCCTACACTGGACAGAATGTTCGCTTCGACGTCACAAAGAAATGATGATGGTTTGCGGGCGTCTTACAATATCTCGTTACTTATAGCAAAATCCGGAAAACCGCATACTATCGGAGAGAAGTTAATTTTGCCAGCCGTTGACGAGGTTTTAAAAACTGTTTTACACAAACCTGCATCTGATATCATTAAAAGAATTCCCTTAAGCAACAATACTGTTGAAAAACGTATTAATGAAATGAGTTCTGATATTGAAAGCTCTTTCTGTAATTATTTGCAAACGACCCATTTCTCTATACAACTGGACGAGTCAAGTTTACCTGATAATGCAGCATTATTATTTGCATATGTTCGTTTTATTATGAATCAAGAAATCTATGAAGAACTGCTCTTCGCAAGAACTTTGATAACCGACACTAAAGGTGAATCAATATTTCATGTTTTGAAGGATTACTTCATTGAAAAAGCAATTCCTTTATCAAATATAATATCAGTAGCTACAGATGGAGCACCTGCCATGGTTGGAGGTTATCCTGGATTTATAAGCTATTTAAAACAACATGTGTCAGGGGTGTAAGCAATACATTGCGTCATCCATCGACAACATTTAGTTGCTAAAAATTTGAGTGTTAGATTGCATGAATCACTTCATTTAGTCATTGTTGCAGTAAACCGAATCCGAAGCAACGCGTTGAATACGCGGTTATTTGCGCAGTTGTGTGAAGAAAATGACGAACACTTTCATCAATTACTCCTTCACACTGAAGTACGCTGGCTGTCGAAAGGCTTATGTTTGACAAGATTTTTTGCACTTTTTGAGACTATTTTAGAATTTCTGGATACTAAAGATAAAATTTTAAAAGAAAATTTAATGAAGAGGAAAACAGACATCGCCTATTTAACAGATTTGTTTACAAAATTTAATATGGTTAATTTGCAATTACAAGGCGACAGTTTAAATTTGATTAAAACAAAGTCCATCTTATCAGCGTTTCTTGCCAGAGTTAAACTAATGAAGCAAAATATTGGACGGGGCGAATTTTCTCAGTTCCCCAATTTGTCACAGACAAGCTGCCAGGAAGACGAAGTTTCAAATGACGTTCAACATTTAAATGCCCTCTATTCAGATTTTGAATCTAGGTTTGAGGATATTTTGACTATGGTAATACCACCGTGGATAATTAATCCATATGGTGACATAGAAGAAACGAATGTCATAATACAAGAGGAACTGACTGGACTAAGTTCAAACGAATAACTTAAGGTTCAGTTTAAAAACGGATATCAGCAATTCTGGCTGCAAAACAACATACCCGTTACTTATCCCGTATTATGGAATATAGCGAGGAAATTTTTAATTTCCTTTCCATCGTCATACCTAGTGGAAAGGGGGTTCAGCGCTGTTACCAATCTCCTAACGAAAAAAAGAAACAGACTGGACATCATTAGCCGAGGAGATTTAAGATTAACCCTTACAAAATTGACGCCAAATGTTGATAATTTATTATTAAAGCATCAGGTTCATCCTTCTCACTAAAAATATTGACTTATTGCTTATGTTATTTTATTTATAGTTTATTTTATGTGTCTGGCCAATAAATGCCCGCAATGGGAATAAGTGCCCGCATTGATTTTTTTAAAGAACCCCCCCTTTATAGAAAATATCTTTTTTTTAATTATTCTGAAAATTCAAGGATAGGTACACACTAAAATTCGTTATATTTTGCTTATTTTTAGATAACTTAAACGTATAAGAAGTGGAATTTAATCAAACCAACAGTGAAATTATTGTAGAACATACGTTTATGTTATAATTAATAAACGAACTCGCTTATTGTACTATTTTAAGTAAAAAACTTTTTTTTTTATTATTTTTCACTTTTTTTTATTTTATCCCTCTTATTTTTTTTTTTCAATGCGGGCACTTATTCCCAATGGGTGCACTTATTGGTCAGACACCTGTTTATTTAATGTTACGTATATTTTACATAACAGATACAAAATTTTATTTTGAGTAGTTTTAATTTAATTTCAATTAATAAATGTATAAATTAACATGTATTTTTACTTTAAGTTTTTAAAACTAAACTCCACTAAAGTTAGAAATTTACAGGAAATCAATATCAGGTAAGTAGGGGGTCTACCCAACACGGGAAAACATGGCAAGGGGTCTACGACACAAAAAAGTTTTGGGAACTCTGGGCTAGACCTTAATACTAAACATACTACCACCGAACTATTAATTATACAGTGCTTTTCTTTAATGTCCCCCTCCTCTTTGATGTTTTGAATGGATCAATTCAAAAAATTAAAACTTGACGTAATGAAATTGATGCGTGGATATATTTTAGAGGAAAATTGACAGATGAAAATGTCTAGATGGCCGCTGGGCGTCATCTTGGAACAAAAAATTATATGAAATTGGTTTCTTGTGGCTCCTGACGAGTACTTTATAACCCTAGAATATAAAGTCAATACCTTTACCTACTACAAAATGGTGGTACATTTAATATTTTAATTTATTTAAAGCCTTTTTTCAAAGCGCTTAATTTGATATTTTTTCAACATTTATTCTACGTATAACCAAGTATAGTTTGCTGAACTCATTTTTCAGTTATTTTGATACATTTTTAATAGATAGTTTGGGCCGGTTAAATTTGTCATGTCATTTGAAGTTCCTTTCACCTACCAGAAAAATAAAATCACGAAAATTGCATTTTACGTACGTATTCATATATTTTTGGAGCCAAATAGATGAAAGATTGCCTCATTATGGTCTTATGAGGCTTAGGGACAGTTTTTGCACGTAATTTCTATCATGGCAATGTGTGATTTTATCGAGTTCACTGTCAACTTTGAGATAATTGCCGACAGTATTGACAAATAAAGTTGCTTGATATTTAGATTTCGTTGTGTAAATGCATTTATTGAATATAATTTTGGTTTTTGAACATAATTTCTAAAACAATTAAAACCTTTATATCGTTTAATTACGTACAAAGTATCTCGAAACATATATTTCGTAAAGAAAATGTTGTGTAATAAAGATATTAGGTTTGAAAATATCCATCCAATGGTGACCTTGAACGTGATCTTGACTGTGACCTTCAAGTTTATTTTAAAGTCAAGGTTCTTAAATGGAAACAACTATTTTTGACGCCGGAAATAAAAAGGGAAAGAAAGTTTATATTCAAGTAAGTCCAAGATCTGGACTATGACCATCAAGGTCATTTGAAGATCAAATGGGTTTTTAACAGGAAACAACTACTTTTAATTCCTGGAATGCAAATGGCGGACAAATTTAAGTCCAGGTCAAATAAGAGAAAAATATATTTAATGAGGATCAAGAATAATAATCTTCGGTAATAACGGGTGATTTTTTAAGAGCTATAGGATTTGATTTAAAAAAAAATTTGAAAAAACGATTAAGTCTTTATTTGAGTCGATAGAACGGTCGATATAATTTAATGTTTAAAGATTATTTCATGTAAATGTTGGCCGCGGCTCCGCTTTAGATGGCCCATGCGCAAGGTCCAATTTTGGCACACTCTCTCCAACATATCGGCCGGTATCTCACGAATAAATGCTTCAATATTGGCTTCCAGTGCATCAATCGTTGCTGGTTTAACCCTGTAGACATTAGCCTTATCATGGCCCCACAAGAAATAGTCCAACGGCAAAAATCACACGATCTAGGCAGCCAATTGACGGGCCCCAAACGTGAGATAAACTGTTCACCGAACTCGCCTCTCAATAGAGCCATTGTTTCGTGTACGGTGTGGCATGTGGCACCGTCTTGTTGAAACCACATGTCAGCCAAGTCCAGCTCTTCCACTTTGGGCAAAAAAAAGTTTGTTATCATCGCACGGTAGCGCTCGCCATTCACAGTTCCGTTCCGGCCATTGTCGTCTTTGAAGAAGTACGGCCCGATGATGCCACTGGCCCATAATCCACACCAAACAGTGATTTTTTCGGGATGCATTGGTAGCTCTTGCAATGCTTCTGGCTGGTCTTCACTCCAGATGCGGCAATTTTGCTTGTTACCGTACCCATTCAACCAGAAATGAGCTTCGTCGCTGAACACAATTTTTCGATAAAAATGTGGAACTTCCTCCAACTTTGCCAGCGCCCATTCACCTAATGGGAAAAGTCGTGGGAGGTCGTGTGGCTTCAATTCTTGCACCAGCTGTATCTTATAAGGTTTTACACCCAAATCCTGTCGCAAAATTTTCCACGTAGTGGAGTAACAGAGGCCCAATTGCTGCGAACGGCGGCGAATCGACATTTCACGGTCATCACTAACACTGGCGGATACAGCCGCAATAGTTTCTTCAGTCCTCACTCTACGTCTACGTGTTGGTGGTTTAATGTCCAATAATGTAAAAACTTGGTTCGAAATTTAGTCACAAGCTTCCGAATAGCTCCCTCAGTAGGCCGACCAAATTGCCCATAAATTGGAAGCAGTGCTCGATGCACTCTCTTAACCGAGCATGAATTTTGATAGTAAAATTCAATAATTTGCAAGCGTTGTTCGTTCGTAAGTCGATTCATGGTTAAATTATAGACCAAACTGAACAAGTTTGACAATGACACAAGACACGATTCACGCGTCATCTGTCAAAAACAGTGTTTCCCAAAATATACTAGCAAAAAAATCACCCATTATTAAACTCCCGTAAAGTTTGTTTAGTAACGCAGAAAAATGAACAGGCTTATTTGAGAAACATTTAAAAACAGACAAACCTTCGATTATTCCCATATTTGGTCCCTCTGGTATAAAGGTATTGTCAGTATGACAAAAAATTATCAGACAATTGAGATGATGTTTTGATGTATTTTTAAAAAAAACACCGCTTCGATTTGCTAAAATACAGAGCAAAGAAGCATTACTGATTATGTGTTAGTACCAAAAATTGCAATTGCATGGAAGATATAACAAAACAATGAGATAATCAGAAAAAAGTTCCTGATTTTATTTTGCTTATGAGCGGGAGGTGAAGGGAACAAATCACATGACAAATTTAATCGACCCAATATATAGTTTTTTTTAATATGTTCCCAGGTTATTTACGTCCGGGTTCTTCACATTTCAGCATTTTTCTCTAGGAAATTTTAGAGATATTTTGATCAATCCATACTTTTTGAGCACCCTGTATATTATCACGGTTAAAACCAATCCTACAACAAGTACAAATTTCGACGACTCTCCGTATTGTGGTTCGGACGTGATGCTGACAGACTCGACCGACATTTGCATTCATACATACATTATTATACATTTAACGAATAATCCGAACTTCCTTAAACCTTAAACGGCGTACCTAGAAAGCTATGCAACAACTAACATTAAACTGGTATACCGTACCTCCAGCAAGCAAACAACAGCCTCATGCAAGTTTCTGATTGCCTGAGCTGGAAATGAATATGAAAAAATTGAATTGAAGCTGGAATTCCACGTCAATTTTGGTATATTTCATTTTCAGCCGAATCTACAGCTAATGTAACTTACATGAAATCCATCTCAAAACTGAACAAAATACTTGTGTCAAAAGACCCTAAAGTGTACCCTCAACTGTT